TGGAGGCACGTTAAGCCATTTTTAGGCAGGCCATGAGTCCCTCCTGGGTCTGTTCCTTGTGCTCTAATCCGCATCTACTGGCTAAGTAAGGAGCACCCCCAAAGGCCTAGAGGAGGTTGAGCCATGAGATGGAAGGACCCTTGATCTTTGAATGACTGTGTCAACTGTGACTTAAGAGAGGACACTAAAATAGAAGGACAGCTTTATTGTGTGAAACCACTAGAGCCTGTGGTTGTTAAAACAACCAACTTGAGTAACAAACATAGATAGGAGTGGGAAGTCAAGACAAGTAAGAAAACTGCCCACAAGTGCCACCTGCCAACTGTCAGGAGCAAAACTGGGAGGTACTGTGACTTGTACCTTTAATGAATTTTCTCATTGAGTCACTGTGGGCAAACTTTTGGCTTATGAAGGCTGTGGGCAGCAAGTATTATGTCTTTGTCAGGTTTGCCTTTCCTTCTGAGGCTGAAAAATAAGAGTTCTTGGTATGGGATAAAAACACATCAGTAATGAGACAGTGTCACCTCTAATTTCCTAATTCCTTACCCTTGACACCCTGAGCATCTGAGGCCATGACTTGGTGGATTTCTTGTGGCCTCTTTTTCTCTTTTGCTGCGAAACTTGCTTTTAAAAATATAGACGGTCATCCTTTTATGTAACAGTTTCTAAGCCCAAGGGAATGACAATAGTCCTCCAACCACAAAATGCATGTATAATTGTCTGAAGAACTAGTTCTCCTACAAAACACGTGTATATAGATGACCTACTTGTATTAAAAAGTGTCCAAAACACTAGCTTTGTGATATTCAATGTAATTATCTTATTCAACAATAATATTGATGAAGAGTAATAGGGTGTTGGTCGGGTGGCTATGCTCTTCTTATTGCCACACAAAAGTCTAATGCAATTTATCATAAAGTTTGGAAAGAAAATCTCTCTTCAAATATGACAGAATGTATACATTTTTCAATTAATTGTTTTAGATCACGGACCTCCAACCCCTTTGTTTGTTGAAATCTTAAAAGATCAAAAACTCAAATTGAATTTGGTTTTATTCCATTTTTCTTTAGAGCTTTGATCCCCCCCTCCCTTGGAATTTATCAATAGTTTCATTCTCTTTCATTTTCTTTAGACTTCAGAAGTCAAATAGTGACATCAGGAAAATGTCATCTGAGCAGGCTCCCTGGCCTTCCTTTGAAGCAGCGCTTGTTCCCTGGGGCTACAGGGAAAGGCAAGCTGGCAGATATGCAGGGTGTCTGTCCCATGACTAATTCAAAGGAAAGAAAAGACACATTTGATACATTCCTATTATAAAGCAACAATAGAAACGAATGCATAGATTTATTCACCTTTAATTATTTTCTTATGAGAGGACATCAACATTTTCTTCTGCCATTATAATGATCCAGTAAACTACATAAAATTCAGATTATATTGTGCTGATATTGAAGCACACAAGAATGATATTTAAAGTATAAGTCCATTTCAAAAAGCCTGGAAAATGATCTGAGAAATTAGAACAGGTGATAGAGATGAATTATAGGCACCTATTAAGACATACCCTTTGAAAAATATCATCTTTAAAGTTTATAAAGCATCCTGGATTTTAGAGAAACTTACTGAAACCACAATAATAGAACATCCCAGGGGTTTGGAGTACTTAGGTAAAGTGAAAAAAACTACAAAGATTATTCTTCCCAGTCTGTAACACAGCATGCTACAACCTTTCGCTATCTAATGGGTATCTTTGTAACTCACGTGGACGCCTTGCAGCAGAGAACATTGTTGGTAGTAGAATTTATTTTATAAAGTCATTGCTTATGAATAAGATGTAAAGGAAGAAAAATGGGGGTGGAAATGATATTTTTAGTTTTTTGAAAGCAGCGCTACTGTTTTGGGAACCCATGAGCATCACACAGAACTCACTATTCCACAGTAAATAGAAATTTAATTGCTTTCATCTTCATTATATGGATTTTTATGTGCAGCTAAAAACAATTTGAAAAATGTAATAAAATTACACTAAATGTTTACTTGGAACAGAGTTTTTTTTTTTTTCTCCAGCTAATTTAAGAATCTTTTTTATTGAAAGTTTCCTGATGAGAAATAGAAATCAATTCCATTCATTTCTCACCAAAAACTACATTTAAATGATTAGAAAAAAATGAGCAGTTCCAAGTGATGGTCAATGGGTGAATTGTGTCCTACTAAAGAATGTTATTACTTAATACCCTCATGCCCTTTATTGTGATATGAGTTGAGTCTGATGTCTGCCTGGAAACTGACAGCAATATAATTTGGATAGAAGTTCATCCATCCTTTCAGACTCTGGAATTCATAATATACCTTTTGTCTAAGTTGTGTAATGTTTATTTGTGAAGTCCATTCATAAATCTTAGATTTTAATTGGTTGTTGCTTTTATTGAGTAGATTTATATAAGCGTAATTCTACTAAATTAGATACCACTATTTAAGAATAGTGATGATATATTTTTCCATCCTGGAAAATACATTTTAAATCATTTTAACTCATTATAAACATTTGGATAGTGGTTTTTAGAGAGCTCTCATAAATAATTTTTTTTAAAAAAGCAGTAGTAGTGGGCAGTGTTTGAACATAGGGTAATAATTCATACCAATTATATTGCTGAACATAAGGTTGAAGCCTCAATAATATATCCTAATTCATACCTTATGGTCTGATGGCAATTAAAATACCACCATTAAATATTTTGCAAACACACATAAAAGCTGAAATCTTGCTTATATGGAATAATATTCAGTGCTTTATCACCCAGAATAGTACCTCTTTATTTTCGTGACAAAGTATAATCATTAGAGAGCCATTCTGAGAGTAACTTTAATCCACACAAGGCTTGGACTTCGTATTATTGTGACTATTAATACTATTACTACTTTCATGGCTATTAATGCTTTTGAGCCTCTGCTGATTTTCATATCATGTAATTAGAACAGGCACAATCAGATGGTCCTAATGTAGTGACCAACAACAGACAGCTGCAATCTTTTTCCACAGCAGAGAAACCAGACAAACACAAAAGAGCTTACTTACTGATTAAGGAGATTGTGTTTGAAGGGTCTGTCTACATTGATTTAGAAGATCGTATTTAAAGAACCTATCTACAAGCGGTTTGGCTTCTAGTGTCTGAAGGTCAATAAACCTTAAATGAGGCAGAGGGACTACTGAGAGGTTAAATATTTCATGTTCATGATGCTCATAGTAATCTAGTAGGTGACTATAAGGTTTACGTAACAACAACACAGGCCCCAGTGCTTTGACTTGGGTTAATGGGGAGTTGTGTGGTTTGGATACACATGTGGCTTGTGACTTGCTTATTTCATGTAAGGTCTCCCTGCAATGGTCATGCGTCCTCATTTCAGATATATTTTGATACAGTAAGTTGGCAATTTCTGTGTATCAAATTAAAATGGCATGGGCATTGGAATCATAAAGATGAGAGTTTATATTCTGATGGGCTACTTAAAGCTGTAAGTTTCAATTTCAGTATCAATACAAAAATGATAAAGATTACCTTGCAGGCATATGTCAGTGCTGTGGACTGAATTATGTCCTCTCAGAATTCCGATGTTGAAACCCTGATCCCCAGTATGATGGAATTTGGAGGCAGGGTCTTTGGGATATGATTAGGTCATGAGGGCAGAGTCCTCGTGATGGAATTCACGCCCTTGTAAGAAGAGACACCAGAGAGGGTGCTTCCTCCCCTTCCTCTCTGAACATGCGAGGGTACGATGAGAAGATGGCCATCTGCAATCCAGGAAGCAAGCCCTCACCAGACACGGGATCTGCAGAAACTTTAATCTTGGACTTTCCAGGCTTCAGAACTGTGGGAATACATGCTTGTTGTTGAAGCTGCCCTGCCGATGGCAATTTCTTACAGCAGCCCTAACCAAAATAGCCAGTTTAGGAATCATATGGGCTGAGCACCTCACACAGTCACCACAATGCTCAGTGAACATTTAAAGCAAGTTCTTGCAATGTGCAATGCTTGAGCAGTTTATTTTTCACCCTGGCCCGAATATACTGTGGGGAGGAGAATGCAATTCAAAGTTTTCAATCAAGCAAGATCCTTAAGTGCCTACTATTTCCATAGCACGGCCCAAGAAGTCATGTATCAAGGGAAAGTTGGCTTCTTCCATTGCTTCTTGGCTGGGGTTGGAAGTCAGAAGGGACAAAGTTGAGAGAGAAATAGCCAGGGAGTGGGGCTCGGCTGTCATCAGGCTGGAGGTCAGGCAGAACACTTCCTTGTCTTCGTTGGGTGGCTGCAGTAACGTTGCAGTAACTATATATTGACCATGTGCTTTTATTTGCTGTGTTCCGATGCTTTGGCATCTGGGGCCCTGCTGACCTTGGAGGAACTGCCCTTCCCAGGGTTAGCCATGTCCAAAAGATAGTGATGACTCACCCCAGAACATGATTTTCAAAGACAAGGCAATCAATCTAGAGCCCACATCGCTAGTAAGTCTCCCCTGGGGGTTCTCATAGGGCTGTCATTCCAGGCCACTCTCTGCCCACCCTAATCACCTCAAGGCCAGGTCCCAGACAGGCAGGGGGGGTTCCCGCACCCCAGAACCCACCGACATTTCTCAAAGCAGCCAGTTCTATGCCTGCTTTGTCTTTTCCCAGTGTTGTGCAGACTAAAATAAAGGGATCCCCCATGCCCTCTGCTTCCTGGCTGACCTTGGTGTGGCCCTCTGATGGTACTATGTGCCCCCTTCTCTGGGATTTCTGAGGATAACAAGCCGTCTTTTCAACGGGACTCCCTTCTGGACCTGTTGGTCTCACCATACCGGAATCATCATAAAGCCTGTATTGTAAAACACATCATTGGTGTCTAAAGTTTGCACAATGCTATGGCCCCCACATTAAGGGAGTCTGGGTGAGATGACTTCATTGTCCCTACTTCTCTGACCAGAAAACACAAGACTTAATGGGAGACAATAATAACAACAACAAAAGCAATAGAAGAACACAGTTGTACCTCTTTATTGGCACAGTAACTTTTCAAAGGCTGGTATGAATAAAAAGTTCCAAGTAGCAAGACAAGGTGGTCTGGAGCCACTGCTCAGAACTTCCCACAGCCAACGAAAGCACATCAATGAACAAGGCCTTGCATTATGGGAGGGTTGAGGATATACAGCGAGGGAATCATGCAGTGGAAGTCCTGGGGGACGAACGTTGTGCGATGCAGTCCCTACTGCTCAAAACAGTACGTGGCAGCGTGCTCCTTTGTACTGTGTAGACCTTTGAATGAATATGACCATTTTACACCACCAGCTATGGATTTGAAGCCATACGTGTTTAACCAAGTGCCATGTGATTTCCTGTGATCTATGCTAAAGTCGGGAGGTGAAATTGAACTAAAGGGTGCACAATCCACTTATCCAGAAATACAGGGCATAGGAAAGAACAGCCTCCTCATCCATGAGTAACACCCAACACGTGGGACTCAATTCATAGTTTTGCAAGGGGTGACACTGGCGAAGCTAAAACAACAATGTAGTTTCAAGATTTCAGGTGCGTTAGGTTAAAAAAAAGGACTGTGGAGGAAAAAAAATAATCTAGAAATTATTTTTTAAAATCTGTATTTTGAAGAAAGGAAGCACCACCAATTGCGTAAAGTTATAAAATTACAGTAATAAACATGTAAATAATTATCAGGTTTACAATACCAATAAAACACAAATACCTACAAAGAAATAAAATATATGCCCCGTATACTGTATTATAATAAAACCATTGGAAGTACCATAAACAGACTGTTGAACCGTAGAAAACCAACTGTACAGGGTGTGCATGGATTGCTCCTTTCCTCTGCTACTCTCCCTCTCTGGCCACATCCACCCTTTTCCCAGCCTCTCTCTCGCTACCTAGGGGTAGCACAGAGCCATAAATGAGGAGCCTGAAAATCAGAGTGTATCACCACGAGACGGATAAGAAAGAACACACACACACACGCACACACGCGCGCACACACACACACACGGGATCTCATATATTTAGTGTCTGTGTCCTGTGCTTTTTTTGTCTAAATGCGTGGAGGGAAGACCCAGCGTGTGTCAGAAGGCAGCCTTCTGTTGTTGTAGCCTGGAATCAGTAGGTAGTTCTATTTTGTGAGTCTGCAGTTCAGGCTGCATCAAATGGTGGTGTCCCAGAGCTCAGACGGCAGCCTGTTGCAGGAGGCCCCTTCCGGCTTCTTCAGAAGACTGGGCTTCTTACAAGGTGGTGGGGGAGGCACCCTGGGCTCAGCGTGGTGCAGGATCTGCTGCCAGTCTTGTCCTTCCTCACAGAGCTTTCTCCTCCAGTCCAAGAGTTCCTGCAGGGCCACACTTTCATTCTCTGAGAGCCTCAGCTGATGGATTACCTGTGGGAGGAAGAGGGGGAGAAAAAACAGGCAGCACCAAATATTGTGAATGAGTACGAAGTGTCATAGCAACACCTGGATACAAAGGGGCAGGGCTGGCGCTGAAAGAGGCAGCCTCTTTCCTCAGTCTCCATGCACTGCTGCCTCTGGAAACAGCACTGGGCTAGGGAGGCTATGAATTGCTGAGTTAAGGCGATGACTGCAACAAAAGACTGGGAACTAGGTAGCGTGTTAATGTGAGCTGCACCTCCAGAGGCTGCAAGAAAGAATGAAATGTCTGCTTGACCTATGCCCTCGATTATTGTGTTCATTCTTATGGCAACTTGTACTTTCTCTTCATTTAATTTCTATCCATAATAGATGTTCTCCTATTAACAGAGCTTCCTCAAGCTTCCCTCCATCCTCGGAGCTGCTCCTCCATCTGTCCACATAGTTAATAGTCAAACATGACTATTAGGGTTACATGACCTCACTTCCGACCATAAGGCATGGACCCAAAGATGGACCCCTACTCATGGGGGCCCATACATAGACAATACAGAATAACACCACACTCATGTAGAAAATGTTTTCAAGCATTAGGTGTTACAAAAGGCAGTCACTAAAATATCCAATGAGCTCATTCAAGGCAGGCTAGCTGTGCTTGAGAATATTTGAAGCCTCTTTGGGGTATCTACCTGCCTGCTCTATTTGGTGGCAGTGAGACAAAGCAATGAGCTAAATTAGCAACTGTGTACTCTCTCAGACTCTGAGCCCTCAAAGATGGGAACATTATGGGCCTTTGCAGGGAAGCATCAAAACATGTAACTGTATTGGCTACATCATCTTGCATCACTATGGCCCCTGAAGAGAGACACCCTGCAGACCAAGCTTACCCTGACTTCAGCTAGGGCACAAGACAAGCTGGCTATGTAGCTGTGGTCACCCTTCTTCTGCCAGCTGCCAGGAGTCTGTAGCAGCTGGACATTGCAGCTATCAATGTTTCTGGCAATTCTAAGGAAGTATACTGGTTTTTTCTTTTTTTTAAAATGAGATTCTGGAAATCCAAATGGGAATACTGGGGAGAATTCAGAGGAAATGAGATGACTCATCCTACCTCCAAAGCACCAACTACTTTATTCCAGCACTTCTTCTATGTCATCACAATCCTCTCCATTAAAATGAGAGAAAATAAAACAGAACACAAGTGGTTATGCGCTTATGTAGAAAACAGTCACTTGAAAGCAGCAAAGGGAGTGAGTGTTCCAGACCCAATTCTAACACCAACACCTGAGCCTACTGTTTCCCCAAGAAAGAGGATTTTAAAGGCTGGGATCAAGGAGACAATGTTTCAAGGAGCACGAAGGTCAAACCCATATTCCGAGTCTGTAACTAGAGTTCTGGAGCTGGTTATTAGTAAAAGGAGCCTCCTCAGTTGAATTGACAGACAACCAGAGGAAAGAAGAGCTTCAGCGTAGAAAAGAGGACTATGGTTACTCAGTCCCTAAAGCAATTTCTAGACATAACAGAGAGTGAGTTGCAGAGCATAGTGGGCCCCTTAGGAGGAATTTTTTTTTTTTTTTTAAGTCTTTAGGGATGCATCAGAATGACCTGGAAATGAGAAATTCTGTTGGGCAGATTGCTTCTACTCTCAGCGGAGGGAGCCAAGACAGGGTGGTGGGAGCTAGCATGAAATCAGGTTATTTAGTGAACACTTTGGCTACACATGTGCTAGGTGCTTTCCTAAGCACCTTCCAGGCATTAACTCGTCAGTTCTTAAGAGCCCTGTAAAGTGGGTACTCCTATTTTGCAGATGAGGAAACAGGAACAGGGCAGACAGGTAATCTGCCCAAAGCCACATGGAAAATGACAGATCCTGGCAGCCTGGCCCAAGAGTCCATGTGTTTCCATTTGTTGGCATCATCTATAATTTCTTTCAAAGTGGGCTAAGGACAGGAGTAGACAATTCTCAAAAGAAGATATGCTTTTAGCTGTGAGTCTACTTTGCTTAACCCAACTATTGTGGTCTAGGATCTGATACAGGCTAAGGATTAAGAGTCCTCTGTCCCACGTTCCTCTTCCCTTCTTTTTCTGAATGGGACCACAGTCATCTCTCTATGTTTGTCCAGGAGTGTGTGCCAGCTCCTCCGTCATCCTCCACCAGTGTGTGCTGTGCTGGTTACATTCCCTTCAGTCTCAGTGCGGACATGGAACATTCATATTTATGTTCCTTGGCACACACTTAGCATACAGTAGTGATCTCGGAAAACAATGTCACCAGATTAGGAAACAACATTTAGCTGATGGAAGAATATCGCTACCATGTCAACTGATTATTTTCCCCAAGCTTTCTTGAAACACCATCTTTCCTAAATGACACAACTTCATATTCATTTATTTAGGAAAAAACTGAGGAACGTCCACTTCCAGAGAGCTGTAGCAAATTATTGTTCCCATTGTAAAAATTTCAAAAAAGAGTCATTTTTCTAAAACATCAGGAAATTCTGACAAGAGGAGAGAATTCCAGATGGAGTGAAGCTTTTTGAGGTGAACTGATAATTACCAGCTGCTTCTCCCCGCCCCCCAGGGACATTTGCCAATTCTGAGTATTTCCCCAGATCCAGAGAGTTTTTACTGGAAGAAAGAGAAACCACATAGTATTTTGGAGTTGCATGGAACTAAAGAAACAAATTGGAAACTTGTAGATCCTCAAATGCATAACCATCGTCTATGGCTGTTCACAAGGGACACTCGTTTAGCTGTTCACCTGCATGGGTGACGGGTGTCCTAGGCAAAGTTTATAAAAAGCAGAATGAAATCTCCTACAATGACAGAGGTGCTTCAGAAGTAGAACCTGGCAAGGTTGATGATGGCCTCCAGCATGTGGCCAGTCTCATCTTAAAACCTTCTCTGGATTTTGAAATTGTGTGGGGCACAAGTTTGCAAAGCCAGGCTGGGAGCTCTGAAACACAGGGCTAGCTGCTGTCATCTTTCAGTGCTAAGGAACAAAGACCTCTCAATGAAAGGCACAGGAGGATTAAGCCTGAGGATTAGGAGACAACCAGGGGCAGACTGATTCTCCAACACAGCCCAGCGAGGAACTACAGTAAGAGTGAAAGCTGATGTCTTCATGGAAACACTGGAAGCCAGAAGCCAACACGTTCCTGGTTAAATTACTGAGAAAAAAAAAAATGTCAACATAAAATTCTACACTGAATGAAAAATACCCCTCAAAAATGAAGGTGATAAGATTTTTTTTTTCTTGTTAATTTGTTTGAGCTCCTTGTAGATTCTGAATATTTGTTCTTTGTCAGATGTATAGATTGTGAAGATTTTCTCCCACACTGTGGGTTGTCTGTTTATGCTGCTAACTGTTCCTTTCGCCATACAAAAGTTCTTTAGTTTAATTAAATCCCACCTATTTGTCTTTGTTTTTATTGTATGTGTTTTTGGGTTCCTGGTCATAAAGTCTTTGCCTAAGCCAATGTCTAGAAGAGTTTTTCCGATGTTATCTTTTAGAATTTTTATAATTTCAGGTCTTAGATTTAAGTCCTTGATCTATCTGGAGTTGATTTTTGAATAAGGTAAGAGATGAGGATCCAGTTTCATTCTCCTACATGTGGTCTGCCAGTTATCCCAGCACCGTTTGTTGAATAGGGTGTCCTTTCCCCACTTTATTTTTTTGTTTGCATTGTTGAAGATAAGTGGGCTGTTAAGTATTTGGGTGTATTTCTGGGTTCTCTATTCTGTTCCATTGGTCTGTCTATTTTATACTACTACCATGTTGTTTGACTATGGATGGCTTTATAGTATAGTTTGAAATCAGATAACGTAACGCCTCCAGATTTTTTCTTGTTGCTTAGTCTTGCTTTGGCTATGTGGGTTTTTGGTTCCATATGAATTTTAGGATTGCTTTTTTCTAGTTCTGTGAAGAATGACAGTGGTATCCTGACAGGAATCACATTAAATTTGTCGATTGCTTTTGGCAGTATGGTCATTTTCACAATATTGATTCTACCCATCAGAGAGCATGGGATGTGTTTCCATTTGTTCACATCATCTATTAATTACTTTCAAAGTGGGCTAAGGACATGAGTAGATAATTCTCAAAAGAAGATTTACAAATGCCCAACAAACATATGAAAAATGCTCCACATCACTAACGGTGAGGGAAACGAAGATACACAAATGCCCAACAAACATCTGAAAAAAATGCTCCACATCCTCTATGGTGAGGGAAATGAAGATTTACAAATGCCCCACAAACATATGAAAAAATGCTCCACGTCACTAATGGTGAGAGAAACGAAGATTTACCCAACAAACATATGAAAAAATGTTCAACATCACTAATGGTGAGGGAAACGAAGATACACAAATGCCCCACAAACATATGAAAAAATGTTCCACATCACCTATGGTGAGGGAAACGATGATATACAAATGCCCAACAAACATGTGAAAAAAATGCTCCACATCACTAATGGTGAGGGAAATGCAAATCAAAACCACAATGTGGTACCACTTTACTCCCACAAGAATGGCCAGTATCAAAAAATCAAAAAATAATAAATGTTGGTGTAGATGCAGTGAAAAAGGAACTCTTCTACACTGCTGGTGGGTATGTAAATCAGTAAAACCACTATGGAAAACAGCATGGAAATTCCATAAGGAGCTAAAAGTAGAATTACCATTTGACCCAGCAATCCCACTGCTGAGTATCTACCCAGAGGAAAATAAGTCATTATATGAAAAAAATACATGCACATGCATGTTGATAGCAGCACAATTCACAATTGCAAAAATGTGGAGCCAGCCTAAATGCCCATCAATCAATGAGTGGATAAGGAAACTGTGGTATATGATGGTATATATGATATATATACACACACACACCCCGTATATGATATGTATGATCATATATATGATATATAGATATATATGGGGTGTGTGTGTGTGTATATGATGGAATACTATTCTGCCATATAAAGTAATGAATTAATGGCATTTGCAGCAACTTG